ACACACACACACACACACACACACACACACACACACACACATATATTTAAATAATCTATGAAGATGGGGTTGGTTGCCAGCAAAAATAAAGACAAGACTACTCTAGAGAAACACATATGGGCATTTGGAAAAGTCAAAAAGTTCTTAATAATCTTGTTTATATTGTTTATAATATTAAAAAGCTGGAAACAACCCAAGTGTTCATTAACAAGGGAGTGGATAAATAAATTGTGGTATAATCATCCACTGGGCTACTATACAGCTAGTGGGAATATATGAACTATAGTCACATGTATTAACATGTATAAATTTCATAAACTTAATATATGAAAAGAACAAATTGCAGAAGAATATATACAGTCTGATACCATTTATAGAAGTTCAAAATCATACAAAGCAGGTATATTCTTTTAGGGATATAAGAGGTATATAAAGAAAATCAAAATTCAGTGTGGTGGGAAGGCAAGGGAATATGAACAAGAAGGGGCAAATACACTTTCAGAAGTACTGATAATTATGAAATCAGGTTAAGCCAATTTAAGCTGCAGTAACACATATCCCTAAAGTATCAGTTGTTTGAAATAATAAAGATCTCTTTTCCACTCTAGTTTCATGTCTTCCATGGGTTGACATGGTCACTACACACCATGATTTGGTATTGTCATAGGAGTTCACCATGGCAGGAGAAGATTGAGAATTGAGCATTGGGAATGTGTCACTCCTACTTACGTTTCATTTAGCAAAAGTAAGTCATATGACTTGGAGGACAGGAAGTAAAATTATCTTGTGTGTTCCAAAAGAGGGGTAATGTGTCGGTCCTTGAACATCAGTTATGTCTGCTGTAGTCATGTTTTATAAAACTGTGTTATGAGTTTTTATAATTCGTACAAGTTGGATGTGTATATGTAACAGAGACATACATATTATTTAATGTATAGTTTATTTTGTAATAAAAAAATTGTAAATAAACAGTGCTGTCAATTTCTAATTAAAGAAAATATTCACGAGTTCTTTATTTTTTTTTTTTTTAATTTTATTTATTTTTGGCTGCATCGGGTCTTCGTTGCTGTGTGCGGGCTTCCTCTAGTTGTGGCAAGCGGGGCCTACTCTTCATCGTGGTGCACGGGCTTCTCATTTTGGTGGCTTCTCTTGTTGCAGAGCACGGGCTCTAGGTGCTCAGGATTCAGTAGTTGCAGCACGTGGGCTCAGTAGTTGTGGCATGCGGCTCTCTAGTTGTGGAGAGCAGGCTCAGTAGTTGTGGCGCACTATCTTAGTTGTTCCATGGCATGTGGGATCTTCCTGGACCAGGGATCGAACCTATGTCCCCTGCATTGGCAGGCAGATTCTTAACCACTGTGTCCCAAGGGAAGTCCTGAGTTCTTTTTTCTAGATACTAGTTCTTTGCCAGTTAAATTATGAATATCTTCTCACAGTATGTAATTTATCTTTTAACTTTTATCTTTTAATGAAGAAAGTATTTAATTTTAATATGGACAGATTTGTTAGTTCTTCTTTTATTGTCAACGTTTTCTGTATTTTAAGAAATTAGCACCCTACTATAAGTTCTAAAAGATATTAATCCCTATTTTCAATTAAAAGTTTTTAAAAATTGTTTTTATTATAAGCTGTAGCAGATTCAAAACATTGCATAAAGAAATGTGTTTCTGATTTGTTTTAAAGTGTTGATTTGACATTTAAGTCCTTAATCCATTTGGTGAGTGTTTTGTTTGTTTTTATATGGTATGAAGGATAGATCTGATTTCATCTTTTCCATATAGATAACCAATTTTCTCCCGGGTTCATTTATTGAAGAGATCCCACCTTTTGTTGTTGATCTGCTATGCTACCTCTGTTGTATACCAGTGCTTTGAACATGTATGAGCTTGTTTCTCTGTTCTTTATTCTAATCCATTGGTCATTTTATCTATTCCTGCACCGATACCACAGTGTTTCAAAGTTTTGCAATATTCCTGATAGCTAGTAGTCTAGTCCCCTTGTTCTTTTCCTTTGGAAGTTTCCTTGCTATTCTTGAACTTTTACCCCTTCATATAAAAATTTTGTGATTTTACCAAATTTCATGGAAAACCCAGTTGAAATTTTTATTGGAATTGCATTGAGTCTTTAGATCAATTTGGGGAGATTTCACATTTTCACATTGTCAACACTACCACTAACACAGTATGTGTCTTCATTTATTTAGGTCTTCTTTAATATCTTCTAATAAAATTTTAGAATTTTTCCTGTAGAGGTTTTGAACACCCTCTTGCTAGATTTGTTCCTAGATACTTGATAATTTCTAGTATTGAAATATCTTCTCCTTAATTATATTTTCCAATTGCTGCTGACATATGAAGAATACAAACAAGCCAAAAGAAAAATCAACAAAAGATATGAATATATATTTCTTAGTAAAGGAAATATGAAGAGATGCTTATCACCATCAACAATCAGAATTGCAAATCAGGACCACAGTGAGATACTACTTCATACCCATTTGACTGACAAAAATCAAAGTCTGATACTATTATATATTGAAGAGAAAGTGCATCCACAGGATCTTATACGTTGCCAGAGGGAATGCACTTTGGAAAGCAACTTGACGTTTCTCCTAAAGTTATACTTTATGACACAACAGTTCTTAGATGGTATCTAAGGTAAATTCTTGTACCTATACAAGAGGAGACATTAAAATTAAATTAGCATTAAAATTGAATGGCTAAAGCAACATGAACAATATGGATGAATATTGGCAATATCATATTAAGTTAAAGAAGATTACATCCACCATGACACCCTTTATATAAAGTTAAAACAAAATGAAATTTTAAAGAAATATTTGTAGATGCAGTATGACATAAAAAGCAAAGGAAGGGAATGATCAACACATGATTCAAATGATGGTTGTCTTGGTAGGAGAAAGTAGAGCTTAAACTCAGCCTCTTGGATTGATTTAAGCCAGAAATGTGTTTGTCTTTTTATTTTTCCTTTTTTGGATTATCTAATCTTTAAATTTCTTTTTAAGTTAATAGTGGTGAAAATACTTCTAGTTCACTTCTCTTCCCAGTATATTCCTATTGCCGTTGTTTTTGGATCAGACCAAGTGCTAGTTCAGCATTGAATTGTGAGCAGAAGTGTTATGTCACTCCTGGGTCAGAGCAATTAATTGCTGAACCAGGACCTTCCTGAGCTCTCTTCTCACCTGCCATGGGGGCTAGCAACACTAAATGGCTGTGCAGTCGGCCTGGTGACCTAAGAGACTGATTAGCAGAAAGATGCTGCTGGCCTTCAGTTGGCACGTGGCATTAATGAGAAATAAACCTTTGTTGTTTAAAACCACAAAGATTCCAGGGTTCTTTGCCTCTACAGCATAACCTAGATTTTCTTGATTGATGCAATTCCCTATATTTTACATAAAAATCTGAATTTTTCTGGTGAAAAATCAAAATGTCTGATAACACTGACCTAAATTTTTTAGTGACAGCTGCCATTTTTAATGGCTAGAGGTGGCTATGGATTGCCCCCTTTAAACTGTGCTTGTGCTCCCAGTTTACCACAGTCTTCTGGATACTTGCAGCCCCCAATATAAGTATGTAAAACAGTATGTTCCTTTTTTTTTCCAGTTCTTCCTAAAAACCTAATTTTTTTTAAGAGCAGTTTGAGGTTCATGGCAAAATTATGAGGAAGATACAGAGGTTTCCCATTTACTCCCTGCCCCCACATGTACATAGCCACCCCCATTATCAACATCTTCCACCAGAGTGGCACATTCATTATAACCTATATTGACCCATCATTATCACCCAAGTCTATAGTTTACGTTAGGGTTCACTCTTGGTGTTGTACATGCTATGGGTTTGGACAAATGCATAATGTCATGTATCTGTCATAGTATATGGAGTATTTTCACTGCCCTAAACATACTCTTTTCTCTGCCTATTCATCCCTTCTCTCCTCAATCCTTAGAAGTCACTGATCGTTTTACTGTTTCCATAGTTTTGCCTTTTCCAGAACGTCATCCAGTATATAGCCAAAAAAAAATAAAATAAAATAAAATAAAATACCAGTGAGCACGATTGCTATATCCTATGGTAACAGTATGTTTAGTTTTTTTTTTTTTTTTTTTTTTGCGGCATGCAGGCCTCTCACTGTTGCGGCCTCTCCTGTTGCGGAGCGCAGGCTCCGGACATGCAGGCTCAGCGGCCATGGCTCACAGGTCTAACCCCTCCGCGGCATGTGGGATCTTCCCGGACCAGGGCACGAACCCGTGTACCCTGCATCGGCAGGCGGACTCTCAACCACTGCACCACCATGGAAGCCCGAGTATGTTTAGTTTTGTGAGAAACCACCAAGCTGTCTTCCAAAGTGACTACCATTTTGCATTCCCACCAACAACGAAAGAGTTCTGGTTGCTCCACAACTTCACCAGCATTTGGTGTTGTCAGTGTTACAGATTTTTGGCCATTCTAATAGTTGTGTAGTGGTATCTTGTTTTAATTTGCATTTCCCTGATGGCATGTGATTTGGAATCTTTTCATATGCATATTTGCTGTATGTATATCTTCTTTGGTGACAAGGTGTCTGTTAAAGGTCTTTGGCCCATTTTTTAATTAGGTTGTTTTCTTGCTATTGAGTTTTTAGAGTTCTTTGTATATTTTAGATAACAGTCCTTTTTTATCAGATGTGTCTGTTGCAAATGTTTTCTGCCAGTTTGTGACTTGTCTTCTCATTCCTTTGACATTGTCTTCCACAGAGCGGAAGTTTTTAATTTTAATGACATTAGTTTATCAGTTATCTCTTTTATGAATAGTGCCTTTTGGTGTTATATCTAAAAAGTCATTGCTGTGCCTGAGATCATCTAGATTTTCTCCTGTGTTGTCTTCTAGGAGTTTTATAGTTTGGAGTTTTGCATTAGGTCTATAATCCATTTTGAGTGAAAGGCATAAGGTCTGTGTCTAGATTTATTTATTTTTTGCTTGAGGATGTCCAGTTGTTCCAGCACCAGTTGTTGAAAAGAATATTTTTATTCCATTGTATTGCCTTTGCACCCTTGCCAAAGATCAGTTGACTGTATTAATATGGGCTCTGGGCTCTCTGTTCTATTCCATTGATCTCTATTCTATTCTTCTGCTGATACCCACTGTAGCTTTATAGTAAGCATTAAAGTCAAGTAGTGCCAGTCCAGCTTTGTTCTTCAATATTATGTTGGTTATTTTGGGTCTTTTGCCTCTCTATATAAACTTGAGAATCATTTTGTCAATATCCATAAAATAACTTGCTGGGATTTTGATTGGTATTGTGGTGAATCTATAGATCAAGTTAGGATGAACTGACATTGACATCTTGACAGTGCTGAGTCTTCTTACCAATGAATATGGGATATCTCTCCATTTATTTAATTCCCTGATTTCATTCGAGTTTTGTAGTTTTCCTCACAGATCTTGTACATATTTTGTTAGATTTATACCTAAGTCATTCTTTTTTTTTGAGTGCTAATGTAAACGTTACTGTGCTTTTTATATCAAATTCCACTTGTTCATTGCTGCTAGGAAAGTAATTGATTTTTGTGTATTAATCTTGTATTCTGTAACCTTGCTATAATGACTTATTAGTTCCAAGAGGTTTTTTGTCATGTTTAATCCTTAAGTGACCTGATGTGTTGTTTGGGAGTTTAAAAGTTAGCATTTTTAATCTCATAGGTAGGTTCTCTGAAAATGCAAAATAAAATGGCAGCTGCATTACTGACTTTCAGAGGGATATTAATAATTCAGCTAACAAGTGTAACTGAAAGGTAAGCAGGCTCAGTGACATTTTCTGATGGTGTGAATAAAGATCAGTAGCCAAGAATAAGTTTCTGTTGCAAGATGTAGGACTCTACTTTGTGTTTCTGTCTAAAGTCAACAGTAACATTTTACTTTTGATTGTATGTCTTTGAAAATATTTTCTTTAATTCTTACACCAACTCCATAAGATAAGTAGAGCAAGTAAATTTTCAACCAGTTTGACAGATGAAGAAACTGAGGTATGGAATAATTAATTGACTTGCCTAACGTTGCTGAGGTGTGGAGAAAAGCAACACCAGAACTTTGACTCCAAAGCTTTTAACTCTCCTTTGGGAAATTTAAATATTAAGCTTATGTTGTTTCAAAGGTCAATATGCAGGATTTAAAAAACACACTTAGTTCATTTATTAGAACTTATCATAGTTTCATTTCTCAGGCATTTTGTAAAGAATATCTCTTACAGATCTTATGTAGTATAGTATGAATGTGAGTCAAGATTCTCCAGTTGTCTGACCTACAAGGTTAACACTGGTATGGACAATCCAGAAAGTACAATAGAAGTGTTATCATTTAGTTCGTAATGCTTTTAAAAAAAATTTATCCCGATTGTTTTATCTTCCTCTATTGCTTTGCTCGGGCTGCTATTAAAATTAACTTGCATACATTGATTAAAGGCTAACTACACTCTGGGGAACACAGCCCTGGACTGTTTGGAAGATGAAAGAAAACAATTTAGGGTTAACTAGCATTCCTAAAATTAAGAGACTTCATTCAGCTCTACTTTGTGTATCATGTCTACCTATGTATCAAATTACCCTAAGATCTGTTAAAATTTAAGAAAGGTGAAGCCTATTTGAAAACAACCACCATTTTATTTCAGAAGAACAGACAGAACCATAAATCAAATTTAAGACATATCAGAGAATTCATTTGTCTACCTACTTTGGTCATATTAGATTCTTTTGGCAGTTAGCAAATCAAGTTGAAACCTTGCTTTGTATTCTAAGGCCTAACTCACAGACAAATGGACTTCCTCAAAGATAATTGAGAACTAAGGAAGTTTTTGTTAAATATTAACGGTATGATTGGAGAACTGTCAAAACTCTGCAAAGATGGCTGTTTTTCTCTGCAATTTTAGAAAGAGAAGGGGAGAAAAAACCTGCAAAATTATCAGAGTTTAATGTTAATGCTTTATTTTCTTAGAGGGATTATAATTATTTGCTGCTCACACAAAGGAATTTTTCTCCATTCTCTTTTTTATATAGATCCATTTGAACCACAGCCGCGTCTTCTCCCTGTGAAGAAAAGTCGACAACAACTTCAGCGAGAAAAAGCCCTTCAAGAGCAAAGCCAAAAACTTGGGTTTCAAGATGGATCAACCTCATTACCTCCAGAGCAGCTGCTTTCTGCACCAAAACAAAGATTTAATACTCAAAGACCATGTTCTTCTCCCCCCACTCCCCCCACACTCACCTCTCCTATTGGTGATGGAAAACCACAGGGTATTGAAAGTCAACCAGGGGAACTAGGACTTAAGAATTCCCATGAAGGTCACAAAAATGCTGAGGTTCTACCTCCACAACCAGATTGCAAATTGGAAAAAAAGAAAGTGGAATTGTTAGTAAGTCTGTATATCCATGAGACTTTTTTCCATTTTATCATTTTTTTCCCATTGGGCTTTGAAGAAATACATTTTGTTTGTTTTATATTCTAACGTAGAAATGTAATGAATAAACTATTGAAAACTAGCTACCACCTAAATATAAGTAGCAGTGTTACGCACTCCTTATGTTTTATGTTATTTAGTCTTTACAGTAGTCTTACAATGCATGTTCATTATTTTCACTTTATAGATGAGATATCTTGGACTCAAAGATACTGTATTCCCAAAGTGAATATACCACTAATAAGTAGCAGAGTTGGGGTTCACATACAGGACTCTCTGGATCCAGAGTCTATGCCCTTTACACTCACCAGAACCAGTTCTTATATGCATGGTACTCCTCCCCAAATTGAACCCATTCTTTCAACTTCCAGATTGCATCTCCATTGGCCCAGAAAAGGGTACTTCTGAAGAGACGTGAAGGGATGCTCAAAGGAAAGAGTATTGGAAATTGAGAGGACTAATTAAATAATTCAGCTGCATCATTAGATTTCTTTATTTAATGTGTTTGTATTAGAAACCACCTGCAGAATTTGGTTTAGCCACATTTTTGTGGAAATTACCATTCTATGACTTGTGAATTCTTATAATCAGAATTTTTTTTTATTATATAGTTTATGTTTGAATATTCACTCTTTATTTCCTCCTGATTTATCACTCACAGGGAAGAAAGAATGGTATTTGCTTCTTTTTTCCATTTTCTGAGTCTTTTCTTTTTCAAAATGTCTTATGTTTCTTCTAATCTCACCTATTTTTCCAATCTCGGCTAATCCAGATTCTGTACTGAGTTTTAAGTGTTTCCTGCCCACCAGGGATTTACAGCCAAGAAATCATTTTGACAAGAGACAGAAAGCCACATGAAGTATGAGACCCAAATTAAACAAGTGCATACTTTTAATGTCTTAAGTGTAGTTTACCAGCAAAGTCCTGAGACAAGTTGTTGCGGGGGTGTGTAAATTGAGCTGGAGAATTTAGACTGAATGTCATTAGGAAAATTATTCTCTTTTTAGGTACTTGAGAAAATGTTCATAAGAAGACATGTAATCTCAGGAACTGTTGTTAAAACGGAGAAATTCTGAGGCTCTAAGAGGGGGAAAGGAAAAGTATATACTAGAGAAGGTCAGAGATGACATTTCACTTTTCTGAAAGAGGCACAAGATAAGTCAGAAAATAGAGAATTAAGGAAGTAAAGAAGGACTTGGAAGCAGAAGATGCCTGCCTAGTGAGTTCCTTGATGCTGTAATACACCACCAAGACCCTGAAGGAGAGATGCCCTGATAAAAATAATAATTAGAGAAAATCCAGGTGTCACTGTTGCACACCGTTTGGGTGCTGGGTGAGCTGGAACTCAGGTATCTGGGGAGGAGGTACCTGCAGGTAGTAAAAATGAGAAAGGATGAATGCCAGCACTAAGGTGGAGGCTGTAGGAATGGAGAGAAAAGGATAATTTTGCAAGTGGTTACTAGGTCTGGGAATAGAGATTTTTGATATAATGGCTGTGAGAAATGACAGTAATAGGAACAAATAGCTTTGTCATTACCTGGTTTAATTTGAGTTGACATTAAGTTCATGAATTTACAGGAAATTTTAATATATTTCTTTTAGAATTGGAAAGATTGGAAGACAATTCATGTTTGCAGGTCTTTGGAGTTTTTCTTTAGCCCAACATTCAAGTCTTAGTTCATAGTGTTTCACTCTGTTTAAAATGTTTAAGAGCTAGAAAGAAGTGAGCAAATTGTAAGAGAATGTATGAAATAAACATTGGTTACTGTGCTGAGGGTTATTACACGGTGAAGATATGTATTATAGAAAACTATAAAAGATATGAAATTAGTTACAGAACAACTTATTTTGCTTTCTCTTTTGCATATAACACATGATTAACTTAAACAAGTTTCTCTGTACTCCTAAAAAATGCCATAGTACTCTGGCTTCCAGTTTGGGTTCCTAGACTATATATGTATAATGGATTTCAAAGGCCCAATTTATATAAGCCTTCTTTACTTCAAATCATAGTCTTTGTTCCTATTAGAACAAAATAATGAGCTACAGACGGGTTCCTTTTAAGAGGACTTTTGAAAGAAAATATATATAATCTGGTTGATTAAATTTTATACTTAGGAACTGAGACTGGTAAGGTGGAGCGAGGTTTCAGAAACTCATTTTTATACTTTTGCTCCCTAGGCAAGAAAAATCTCGTTGGGAAGTCCTCCAACAAGAACAACGGCTAATGGAAGAGAAAAATAAACGTAAGAAAGCTCTTTTGGCTAAAGCTATTGCAGAAAGGTGAGGCACCTGAACCAGGAGAGCTTGTTTGTAATCTGTAATTAGTTTTGTCATGTTTTATATTTGTTTTCCTATGTCTGTTCTAATAAATGGCGTTTTCTCTACAACCATTACTTCTAAGACTTACTAAACAAATTATGCTTTAAAAATGATACTGAAATTACAGTCTTAATTTATTAAGGAGGGCTTTTTAAGCATAGATTATAATGTATTTATGAATACAGGGGCAATTAAAACTTAAGGATCATCATCAGTGTTTTCAGTTTTAACCATCTACACATTCATAAGGGAGCAGTAAATAGCTATCTACATAAGTAAATTAGCAACAAATGCAGGTTTTAATTTTCACATAGGCCTTAATCATCTGACATGTAGAGGAATAAGATTATTCCACATAAGTGACTTATACACCCACAAATCCTAATTGTATTTCCTATGGCCATTTTTCTTAAATAATGTATCCTGCCCCCACTGATAAAAGATACATGATATAGTTTAATTTTTTATCCTTGACTGTGGGTCACCATTATGAGCATTGTCCCATACTGTATACAATTCAGTTTTTCTCTCACCTTCCAGAGTGAACTTGTCAGCGATCCCTTTTCCTTTACTGCACTGTACAAGCCTTGAACAACAACATTCCTATTTGAGCCACTTTTCCCATCCCTCACCCACTCTTCCCTCTTTGTAGTTTCTAGTGTGCTGTGGCCTTAGGAAACCAAGCTCAGTCAATAAAGCAATGATTGAGAATAGTGAGAACTAAATGCAAGCAAGTATTCAGAGGCATTTTCTTTTTAGATCTCCAGAAAAGTCTGGCACAACTATTACTCATTAAAGCTGGTGTATGTGTCAGGGGGAGAGGAAGGAATAGGGATGGAGAGAAAGGCAGGTGGGTATAAGAGTAATTCAGGATTTTATCTGCCAAAGGGATGTGTGTATTTGAAAATAACTGGTACACCTTGATCTTTCATGAAGCATAGGAAATACTCAACTTACTGAACTTACGTTTCAAGAATAAAAACAATGTGATTATTGAAACATGATTATTGAAAAGCATTTTAGTAGTCTTCAGTTTGGAAGAGGTTGGGGAGGCTGTTTACTCGGGATTTTACAAAAAGATTTACAGGCTCAGCACTTACTCTTCTCTACGTGCTTTTGATTTAAGACAGAAAGTATTACTGTAGACAGAAGTGTAAGGAAATATAACCTGATTAGATTATTACTAAATGGATAGTGAATCACTTGAAGTAAAAAGATCACATGATTAACTTTTGTAGGCAGAAAATAAGGGTAAATACATAATGGAGTAGAAATCAGGAGAATGTAAGTTGCAGTATAGTGGTTTTATTGGGAGTTTTATTCTCCTGTAAGAATGTGTATGAAATTTTGAAATGAGTGGAATTGTGATTAAAGGTTGGCTTTTGTATTTGTTTATTCTGTTTCTTAAGTAGATGATGTACTTGGGGTTGGAGAGAAGGCTGAGGTTGCTTCTGAACAAAGGAACAAAAAGAGTGTTTGGTTTTGAGCCTCAGAAAGAAGAATTCTGAGGATGTGTAGTTTTCCCAAAGAAGAGAAATCAAAGAAGTTTGGGGAAATGAATCTTAAGAAAATTAAAACCGATTGACATATACATGCTACTATATATAAAATAGATAACTAATAAGAACCTACGGTATGGCACAGGGAACTCTACTCAATACTCTGTAATGGCCTATATGGGAAAAGAATCTAAAAAAGAGTGGATATATGTATATGTATAACTGATTCACTTTGCTGTACATCTGAAAGTAACACAACATTGTAAATCAACTATACCCCAATAAAAATTATTTTAAAAAATAATAAAACCAAGTAGATGTTCTCAGACTTATAAAGGAATGGTGTTTAATGTAGGCAGCTGTTCTTGGCGTCCACTAAGTATCAGACAAATGAAAGTAGGCTTAGCAAGAAGAGTTTAAGGCTGGAATTTGGAAAGCTGTGTTCAGTATTCCAGCATATCCAGTTCTCTATACAGATACATCCTTTTAGTGCTTATTCTCATCCTTATGGAATGAATATAGGCCTATGAGTGAACTCTCTATTGGTATTTTTTTTATTTACTTTTTTTTCCTTGTGTATAAAAAAGTATGTACTAATATATAATTTAGACTAGTAAGGAGGAAAAGTGCAAATGCAGTTTTAGAGATATACCAAAATGTTACCAGCATTTGTTTTATCTCAGTTTTTCTGTTTTTTTTTTTTAATTCTTAAAAATTACACATTATAATCATATTGTGTATACAGTAGCTTGCTTTTTTCACTTATATTGTGTATGGATACATGATTTTAAAATGTTTTTATTTTTCCACTCATATTCCTCATTTTATAGATCTAAAAGAACTCAGGCAGAAACCATGAAACTAAAGAGGATCCAGAAGGAGTTACAGGCTTTAGATGACATGGTGTCAGCTGACATTGGAATCCTCAGGAACCGGATTGATCAAGCCAGCCTTGACTATTCATATGCTTGGTAAGTTGGGGAAATGGAACTCTGAACAAGGAGTTTAATTTAGTTAACGTTTATTGCTGGCTAGGCCAGGGCATTTATATATATCATCATTAAGCCTCATAATGACCCTATTAGATGCTGTATTTATTCCAGTTTTATACTAAATCAAGTATCTCCCTTTTGAAGTCTTCCTTAACTCTGCCCTACCCATTAACCTTGTTTATATCCCTGTTAGAGCATTTCTTGCATTATTTATTTACATTTTAGTCTTTCCTGCTAAACCATCAGCTGTTCAATATTTGAGACTCTTTAAATGTCTAAATGACTTGCCCCAGAACTCTATATATTATTCTAACACCAAGTCTGTGCTCTTTCTTTTAGAAATTTTGATTATGTGAGATGGTATAGGGACTAGCCTATTTCTCATTTCAGTTTTCATCAAAGAAAGGAGATCTAGTTTAGTTTTTAAAACCTTTGAGTATTTGAAAGAAAATACCACTCTGTCTTGAAAGCTTGAAGTTTTTTCTTTTTTTTTGCAATTATACTCTATATAAAATGGCTTGCTATCATGTGTTTCCTTGGTTTTAATGATTGGCATTTTTTTTAAAGAGAAAAAAATCATCGTTGCATATTCTCAAAACAAACTAACACATGTAAAGAATTACATGAGCTTTGCAAACAGATAAAAGCAAAAAATTAAGCCCAGTTTCAGGGTTATCAGTCCTTTCAACATTGCTCTAATCATCCTGGATTGTCTTTTTTCACAAGGGAATGCTGTGTTAATGACTGGGTTTTGCATCTTTCTCTGTAACACTAGAAATCAATCAGAGTGCCGCATTAGTCCAGGGTAAACCACAGCATCGGAATGTTTATGTAACAACTTAATAAAGCGGAAATGCTTGATTGTGGTTTTTAATTCACTGTTTATTGTTTAAGAAAGAGGTTTGTGGTGTCCTTGTGATTTTTGTAATTGTTTGACCATATGCTCTTAGACCTAATGGGTTGCTTTTATTAATTAACTGTGTAAATTAATGCCATCAGTAGCTGATAACTGGTGGTTCCATTTCTATTAATAAGGTCATTAAGGAGGTAACCAAGATTTTATTAAGATTAAACTAAGCCTAGATTTTTAGCACATTTTATTCTCTGTAACTTAAGTTTGCCAGAGGAATATTTTTATGCCTTTGTAGCTCCTTAAATGAATAATTCCAATTATTCTGGATATCTCCACAGAAAAATCATTTGATTGTGTTTTAATTCAGTCCTAGGGGAGGCTGAAGAGGATGCCTTTGTACATTGAAAATTATATAAGAAATGTCATAGTTTTAGCCTTCAGAGAATCACAAAGAAGGTGGGATTCTGGTTAAAAGAGAAGACATCCCATAGTATATGAATATTTTTAATGACATTTTAGTACATTTTTATATAGTAAAAAGATTTTATATGGTAAATTTTTACATCTCTTAAGCTAAAGATGACAGTTTATCATGATACTAGTATTGACAGATGTATGTGAATATCCTTATCGTGTGTGTGAGGTTATTTTTAAAAACATAAGCTCTTGAGTTAAGTCAAAGAGAAGCCACTGACAATTTAGACTAGAACCAGGGTTGTATCTTGTTCATGCATAAGATTAAGACAGTATTTTCTAAATTTACATCTGTGGTTATTAAGAAATTATAGATTGGTGATATAGTATTATGGTCTAGATTTCTACTAGAAGGTAATCTGCAGGGCAGTTTCTGTGGTTCTGTGGGAGATTTCCTTGATTTTTTTTTTTTAATAAAAACATTGTATTTCTGTAGTGGCTGGCATGGTGCTGTGTCCACAAAATGTTCTTGTGTACGAATAGGCCAGAATTCATCCTAAAATTGGTTTCTGTAGGGCAGTGTCAGGGTATCCACCTCTGAGGAGATGGTACTTGGAGTGTCCCAGTGGAGAGAGTTGTCACTGCTGCTGCTGTTCACAGCTGTGATTACAGTGCTGCCATGTGCTGTGCAGGCAGCTTGTAAAACTAGAGTGGCTGCCTGTAGAACATTTCTTTAACCCTCAGTATGCCAGGAAAAACAATGATCACCATTTGCCATTGATGTTTAATAGACGCTCCCATACGCACATGCACACATACACATGTAAACATATATACATAAATGTTTTAAGTCATTTTATGAATAATTTAAAGAAGTAAGAATAAAGGATTGTGGAAAACACCTTTGTTAAAAAATTTTGCATCAAGTAATGTTTGACTGAAAACATTATAAAAAGCTAAAAGAATATCGTTATATCCTTTCAGCCACACAGTATGGTCCAGGTACTTGTAAAATATTGTATGATAAAATTCTCCCTCTTGAAATTATTAACTCTAGGAGAATAATGTATTTCCTTTTTATCCTGAGAAATATATTTTTCACTCATTGATTCTTGACTTTGAGAAAATTCATCTAGGATGTGTTTTTCTGAAGTCTCATACTCTGAGATTTCACTTACATGGTCAGTTTCACCATCTAGAATCTAGCCTGTCTCTGCATTTATATTGATTTGCTAGGGATGCCATAACAAATAACCAAAAACTGGGTAGCTCAAAACAACAAAAATTTATTCTCTTATGCTTTTAGAAACCAGAAGTCTGAAATCAAGGTGTCAGTGGGGTTGTTATTCCTTCAGAGACTCTAGGGAAGAATACATTCCTTGCCTCTTCCAGCTTCTTCTGGTGGCTGGAGACATTCCTTGGCTTGTGGCCACACTACTCAGTTCTGGGTCTCCATAGTCTCATTGATTCCTCCTGTTTTCTCTCAAAAGTGCCTCTGCCTTTTTCTTAAAAGGATACATGGGATTGTATTTAGGGCCCAGCTGGATAGTCCAGAATAGACTCCTCTTAAAATCTTTAACTTAGTCACATCTTTTGCCATTTAAGGAAATGTTCACAGGTTCTTGGGATTAAGAAATGACTATCTTTTTTTGGGGGGGTGGGGGGCGGGGTCATTTTTTAGCCTCCACAACATGCATCTTTTGATTTGTCTAATAACTGCAAAATGTCTTCATCTGTCAATTTTCTTTGTCATTCTGGGTAGAAAATGAAAAGTAATAATTCTCATCTGAACAGTGAAAGCTAAGAGCAGATTACAAATGTGGTATTTCTAGTCTTCTTTTATACCTTATTTAAAGGTGATGTAATACTTTGGCAAAACAGTAAGGAAACTAAGCGATGTTGATTTATTTCATTATAGCATCATCCTTTTAGGTCATTCCATCATTCTCTGTTTTCTTATTATTTTAATTTTTTTAGCATAAATGTGAATAATTGATGAATAATGAGTAAATAATTCCTAGGTGATGAAATGGCAAAATGTTTCAAGATATAGGAAAAAATATATTTCAACAATCCCATAATGTATCTTAGGTTTATAAAAGTGGACCCATATAGTAATTGCAAAATATAATTAAAGTCTATTTTTCAAAATATAAGTAAATTTTCTCTTTGTTCTCTGGAATACTTCTAAGAAAGGATAAAAATAATGATATGTTGATCCTTACAAATAGAACTGCTCAGGAAAGAAACTGAAGAACTAAGTATTTCATTGGAACCTAATGACATGCCAAGGGTTAATGGTGTTTTTAAAAAATTTCGGGGAACCAAAACCAAGAGACAGTTTCTAGAATCCTATAAATAAGATTCATTAAATCATTCAACATTCCTTTAAAATAATAAAACAATTCTATAATTACATTTCCAGTTCAATTTGTCTTACTGTGTTATGTATAATGCTCTTATTATTCTGTTCCAAAGTATGTCTTCATACTCTGATTTGGTTCTATCCCCCTGACCCCCAGACTCAGTGCAGTTTGTGAAACTAATCAATATTTTGAACATAAATCACTCTGTAAAAAAATATATATATATGCATATTTCTGGCCAGAAGGACTTTAAATAAATAAACAAAATGCAGAATCTTCATTGATTTATCCAGGGTGAAAGATCATTGGAAACCTAGGGACCTATTTACAAATTTTAATTTCAATTCAGCATTCATGAGCCCAGTCAGTAGATCTTTACTAACTGACTTTGGCTGAGGGAGACCACAGACTTGCAGAGAAGGGAGATTTGAGCTGGGGGGAGAGACAAGATATGTATACCTGTAGAGAATGTTGTCAGAGCTCTTAAGCTTGATGAAAGAACATTCATAAACAGGATATGTTATAAAGTATGGAAATAAGGGATCCAGATACCCAGCACAGCTCTTTTACAACAATTCTTTTAACATAGGGGTAATTGAAAAACATCTAGTTCTCATTCTTATATTTACTAAATGACAGTAAAAAAATGAAATATGAGAAATGAACACAATATAAATGTTTTCAAATAGAAACACCAAGTCCTTAAATTGTACATAATTTTAATCTTAGATGCATGTTTAGTGGTATATATACTAACAGTGCTTTCTTATTCTGGTGCTCTGAAGAAGTTCTGTTTCTTGAATGCCTACCAGGCACTGGGCTAGACACTTGCCCTGTTTATTCTATTTAATGCTTAATTAACACTCCTATGAGATGTTATTATCATCACCATTCTACAGAGAAACCAAGACTTAGTTCAAGAAACCACCCCTGGTCACCATACTGGAATTTTCAGTCACTGCATGCCTTTTCTCCAGCCTCTTCCACAGGAACCTGGCTGTGTTTTGTATTCATGATGCTGAGCCTGGGACACACCTGATAAGGACAAAGATGGGAACTCCAGAACATTTAATCCATAGACTAAACTGGGGTGCATGGCATGGCCTGGCACTAAGAGTTCTGTTTAAACTGATACGCGTCAAGCCAAGCCAACCCAGGCCCTCCCTCTGGAATTTTGGGATTGGAACACTGAGGGATTGAGTGGAGTGAATTTGATATCAGGGCACAGCTGGTGGCCATATTGGGCTGTGAATATGATAGGAAAGCCTAAATGAGAGAAACTGTGGTTTCTCAGCATTAGCATGAGCAATAGCCTTTGATTCTGATGACATGCCTGTGAGATTGCCTCTTGTATCCTACAATAAAACCCATTTTTTACTTGAGTGAGTATGACTGAATATCTGCTCATTACATCCAGAAAAAGCCTTCAACAAAGGAGGTACACACATAGTAAATGGCAAAGGCAGGTTTTGAACCCTGGGTTCTCTAAAAGCAAGGCCTTTTATTTTTTCACTATATTTCCCTCCAAGACAGAGAATCTTGTGTAAGGAGATATATCTGTTTCTTTTTTGCTATAACTCTAGTATTAGAAGTTATTTATTATGTTGAGTAAGGTAAGGCAGTCATAACAGGTAAGGCGTCATGGCCTCACAGCTGTTAGTGGTAACTAAATAGAATAATTAGTTGTTAGGTAGGGGTCATCCTCTTTTCTGGGCAAAAAGAAAAGCAACTCATTATATGGAAAAGGCAAAAAAGAAGAAAAAAAGAACAAGGAAGATTGCAAAGTGACTTCCCCAAGTAGAATTACCCTACTTCAAATAAGTCTGGCATTACCTACCTATGGAGTTTCAATATATATAAAAGTAATAAACTTTTCTTAATAGAAGTCTAACAGTAGTCTGTTACAGAGTGGAGAGGGTGAAAACAACTTAACCTGGAGATTCTCAACTGGGGGCAGTTTTGCCCCTTAGGAGACATTTGGTGATGTCTGGAGACATTTTTGGTTCTCACAACCAGTGGGTGCTACTGACAACTAAGGAGAGAAAGCCAGTGATCCTCTGCACATCCTGCAATGTACGGGACAGCTCCCCACGACAAAGAATTACATGGCCCAAGTTGTCAGTAATGCTGAGGTTGAGAAACCCTGCTTAAACCTACCCTGAAGTTTTCTCTTCTACTTGGTGTTTACTTCTTACTCTCACCTAGTATCATTGGGCTGGTGGCTGTGCTCTGTCATTTCTGATCCACTGTCCATGTCCTTCTCCACCAAAATTTTTCTTCCTTTTCTACTCCATTAATCAAAAGGTATAGATTTTCTACTTTCTCCATCTCTTATTATTTTATCTCTCATAAATTTAACCAGTTGTGTGCTGGAGCTGGTTTGCCCTCGTTCATGAGAGAGATGTTGTGTATCTTCCCAATTCGGTATTCAGTGATGTCTCATTGATAGCTTGAAATTGGCCATAGTAATTGTGTTTTTACTACAGAAATTGATAAACACTACAAATTAGAGCTCTCCCCCACTGGAGCTAGCACACCACTGAATTAACCTCTCAGCCTGCTTTCATTCAAGCACAGACTTGGAAAGAGGAAATGGGTGCCGAAGAACGTTAAGTTAGGAGAATCCAAATGGGCATGTTGTGGAAGTTTCAGCAGCAATAGTCTGCTTTGTCTAACGTGTAGATAAGTGTTCGTAAAGTATTAATAGCCATATTTTCATTATATATATATATGTGTATATATATATATATATATATATATATTTCCCGATTTTGGAGTTTAATTATTATTTCTAGGCCCTCCTTTGACTATCTTCTTCAATGGAAAACTAATGGACCAGTCTTTGTACCTGTCCCTGCAGGAAGCGGTTTGACAGGGCTGAAGCAGAGTATGTTACAGCAAAGCTAGATCTACAGCGCAAGACTGAGCTTAAAGAGCAACTCACTGAACACCTTTGTACGATCATACAGCAAAACGAGCTGCGCAAGGCCAAGAAGTTGGAGGAATTGATGCAACAACTAGATGTGCACGCTGATGAGGAGACTTTGGAGCTCGAGGTGGAGGTGGAGAGACTGCTGTGTGAACAAGAAGCAGAAGTAGGGAAACAAGTGGTTCATTCAGAGAGGCCAGTTCAGCCTTCTGGGGAGAGTATGACCTTAGGGTTTGCTAAAGAGAACAAAAAGCATCAAGACCAGGCTGCTTCCCCAAAGGTAGATGAGCAGTGTGAAAGCTCCAGTAGCATTGCCCTTCTTGATCCAGACCAGCCAAATCAAGAAGGTGAAACTACTGTAAAAGACATTTCAGCTGCTCTGACCACATGAGGTGCCAGTGTTTGTTCTTTACAACTAACATTCAGTAAACTAAACTTTCTGTTGTAGATCATGCCATGACCTCTGATAAATGCCTCTTCAAAGCACTATTAATTTTTAAATCCATTTGTTTTAGTATAATGTTTGAACATTCTAAAAAATCTGAGATTATGATAATTTTTTATATGGGGGCATAGTTCACCTTGATTTTGATCCAGTTCCTTCATTGTACGCTTACTACTGGGTGAAAACAAGTGATTTAAAAGGATGGAAGAAAAACTACACGGTTAATAGTGTTTTTAGACCAGGTGAATACTGAAAAGTAAAGTGAAAAATGAACTCAATACCTAATTGAACTCATTTAACTTCTCCTGGGAGAAATGTTGAGAATGAGAGTACTATTTTATGTAATCAGTAAAGAGACATAAAAGCTAACATGTGAAAAAGAATGAGGAACAACCAACAAAAGTAGTAGGTTGAATTATCTATTTGGATCTCACTAGAGTTGTAAAACACAGCTTGGAAGTTTCAGTTTATGAAAAGAACCAGAAAACTTAAACCAGCATCACTTTTGTTTTCAATTTGCCTTTTAAACGGCTTTAGTTTACAACCTGAGTTTTGGTTAGTTGATACACATGAGCGCACGTGCGCGCGCGCACACACACACACACACACACACACAGATATACACATACCATAGTATATAAATAATTTCACTATTAATATATTGTCTCTTCTTTAATCGGCACATTGATTAAATTTACCCTTCTGCAGGCTGAAAATAATATAAAAAAATCTTATTGCTACTTTGGATTATCTAAAAAAGTTTATATATTTTCTTAAAGTTACCTCTAAGATATGTGTTTTATATGTTGGATATAAATTATCCTGTCATAAAACATTTAAATTGTTAAAATGATGGTTTTCTTATTACTTCAATAGTTTGTTAATTACTGTCACTAATACTTGACCCCTACATTGTGCTATATGTGAATGTATAAATAAATATTGTAGTTTCGTTACAAAAATCTATGACTATCACATTAAATTATGATCTATTTATCAGAAATTCCAAAAGTACAAATACTACATTTTAAGTCTTAAAGAACTATTATAAAAGAAGATAAGGACAAATGTAACATTGTATCCATAATAACTTCTGAAAAGTTGAGGACATACTATTTTTAAATGAGTTTGTTTGAGGGTATTACCTTCTAGTAATGCAGATGAACTTTGTATTTTTATATTATGTAATTTGAGTTGAATTTATAGCTTTCCATTACTGACTTCGCTAAACAGAGGCTTTTTTATAGATAGTTGTTTTTTTATTTATGAATTACATACATAAAAATGGAAAGCTTCGTTGTCTAATACACTCTTATTTTTCTAAGGAATAAACGATTCTAATGCATTTATAATGTCGCCTTTCAAAGTTTTAAGCAGTTTAGTGTGTATTCTTAAGCACTATGTGGCAATAATGTATCCTGTATCTCCATGCGGTAGATAAACTTACCTCCTTTTTTGAGCCTCTTTTAGGGAAAATCCGTCAATTCAGCTTCTATAATATTGGCTAAATGCAGGTAGGTACAATCTAATTCTCAGTCTATACTTTAAGTACTTATAAGGTACAAGGAGAAATGAGAACCATGAAATAAATGAATTGGATGGGAACTCAGAGATGATTCTATTTAATCATCTTATTTTACAGTTGAGGAATTTGAGAGCCAGAGATTTCACTTATGGCATGTTGGCCGACTGGTTCATGTTAAAGTGCTAGTAAAATTGCAGTTCTAAACTCAATATATCTCATACATATATTAGGCCATGAAGTTCACTGCATTTTTCCACTTGAAAATTTTGCTTTATAACTCATTCAGGGTTTGTACATGTGAAATGATTTCAAATGTCTATAAAAGGTCCACTGAAACCATTATTTTGAAAAACTTACCTTACTTGGCTTTCCCAGGGTGGTATCCAAGTGCTCAGGTGATGATATAAGTGACAAAGTTATATTGCATCCGTTTTGTACAAGGCAGCTGTCTCCCATGTGTGAGAGGAACAGAGCAAATGAGTGAGAATGGGGGCTCATTGGTATGAGGACCATATGCACTGGTTTTTCCAGGATAGCCCTGATGTCTTTTAAAATCATAAAATACACTTGAAAGACTTTTGATGTATGGATTCAGAAATCCACAATAATTATTTTCTTTTTTTTAATATTTTATTTTATTTATTTCTTTTTGGCTGCTTTGGGTCTTCGTTGCTGCACACGGGCTTTCTTCTAGTTGCGGCGATCAGGGGCTGCTCTTCATTGTGGTGGGCATGCTTCTCATTGCGGTGGCTTCTCTTGTTGCAGAGCATGGGTTCTAGGCGCACGGGCTTCAGTAGTTGCTGCATGCAGGCTCTAGAGCGCAGGCTCGGTAGTTGTGGCGCACGGACTCTAGAGCGCAGGCTCAGTAGTTGTGGCGCACGGGCTTAGTTGCTCCGCAGCATGTGGAGTCTTCCGGGACCAGAGCTCCAACCCGTGTTCCGTGCATTGGCAGGCGGATTCTTAACCACCAGGGAAGCCCCAATAATTGTTACTTTATGAACAATCTATGAAATGTTGTGAACGAAATTACCGGTTCAAAATTACTGCCATGAGTTTACTGGGATGCTTCGTAGAACTGTTCCTCTGTGGTGGTTAACTCCTCTTCTTTTCCTCCCTCTTCTCAGATAGTTAGAGCATAAGTTATCAAGGCTCTTAATGATGTGATATGTAATTTAGGAGTTAACTGCTTTGTTATCTCACTTGTTCTATTTAAAAGATAGGGTTTACCAAATTGTAGTAATTTTCACTCATTATCTTAAAAAGGCATAATTTGAAGGGTAAACATGAATTCCAGAATTTAAGAGTTATAACTTGAGACCCTACTACTTTCTTTAAATTAGAGCCATTTTTATAGGTTTCAGAGAAGCAAAATTTCCTAAAGCATGGTTCTCAATACATTTAAAATAAAAGGTTTTTCTCAAGTTTTTCACCTCTGCATAATTCTACAGAATTATAGCAATTGCAGGTGGTAAATCTTTGTACTCACTGAGAGCACAGCTGGTTTCCAAGTCAGCTGATACAAATCTCTGATTGGAATTCCTAGAACATATTTCATTGCTAGATTGGCATTTGAATTATAGAGTAAAAAGTCAGCTATAAACCTCTCTTATTCTTTGTTTGGATTTGGCAACATAGTATTCTCAAGGAGCTTTAAGTATTCAGCAGCTTCCTCTTCTGAGGCATTGGCACAAAATGAACTCAAGTTATTCTGACCCAGGCCATTCCCAGTGACCTTTATAAATGATGTTTTGGGTTTTGTATTTCTAAGAGCTAAGTCAGCATTTTAAAAGTCCTTGATAGATATAACTCAGTCTGCCAGACAAGACCTGGGGCCACTCTGTACCAGGGTAATTATACCCCTTCTCAACATAGATCTATCCCAGGCCAGACTTGAAACTGCTCTCTGGAGGGATGAAGCAGGACGCGATTCTCCAGTCTGCCTTTACCTTAATGTCAGGCTACTTTGGCAAGCTCCTAATCCCAAACAGTTGTCTTGGAAATACAACATCATCTCTTCACACAGTTGATCAAAAAAACAGCTGTAAGTAACTACATATATGCAGAGCTATATAAGAGGTATACAGTCTGCCTTTTGTCCTTAAGAAGCTCGTAGTCTGCTTGAAGGACTAAGATTTACATGCATAAAACAAATGCTGATAAAAGAACGTAATGTATTCTTAATGGGAAGCAAAATAAATGACCAGTGATGCATTCTCCAGAAGTCCCAAATTTTTAGAACAGTTCTAATTTTAGAGAGTCTATACAGTTGTTCTGCATCTCTGAATGTATTTAGGACCTGCCATACCTCAGTTTGCCTTTAGCACTGAGGAGCAACACATACACAACTAAAAAAACAAAACAAAACAAAACTCTGCTAGACAACATGTCCTGAGCTAAAAAATTGTAGTCACCAGAACAGGAGTGAAAGGAAGTTTTTACATGAAATGATTTACAACAGGGGGCCCACTGGGATTTATCAGTTAAAAAAAAAATCAAGCTTAGTAAAATGAACTTTAAGCACAAAGGGTTGATGGTATCTTATGTGGAGAAGAGCATAAATATAATATCTCATTACAGTAATTCAAGGTGTTGCTGAACCAAGGGGCAATAATTATTGCCCAAGCCAGAACAAGATGGAAATGGAACAGACTGGTGTGAACTCAAGGATGACAGTGTGGATGCATGTTCAAAGATCACACATAAGAGAGGTCTTTTCAAGCCAAATGACTCTAGGCATCTAAAATAGAGCCATAATTAAGCAATAAGACATGACAGCACATTTCTCAGTGATTATAGCATGCCTCAAGGGATAAGTCACTAGGCCAAAGGTTCACATGAGGAGTGAAATAATAACCTTGCAATGTATAGTATCGCGCTCTTAGAGGGAAAAGAAGAAGCAAATGAATAATGGGAGTTAGAAGAGTCATTTCACGAGCTCTTATTTCAGTTGTAGGGTTACACTGCCATATGTACATTACATGTAACCATTAGTTGTACCCCGCATCCTGAAGCTCTGTATTTACACCAGAGCCTTCACCTAATTTAAAACCCAGAATTGTCCATTTAAAATTTTGTTAGCCAAGCAAAAACCAAGTAATTAAGACACAAACAGACTTGAAAGTTCATAGCCGTATATATGGAACTGCAGTCTGGTAGAACTGTAATTACAGTTGCTCAGATCTGACTTTTATAACTGAAAAATAACTGAAGCAACCACACTGAGTTATTTTTATTATCTTGGCTCATTTATCTCATATGCATTTCCCTCAGAAACTACCAGTAGACATGGCCCCAGTGCCCCATAGGTCCAGAAACATTTCCAGCTTTCTAGTCAGCTTTCCTTTCCCT